TTTTATTTTCAGATTTAATAACAAAAAAGAGAAACAAAAAAATAATATCATATACCATAAAAAGATGTGATTTTATTGAAATAATATTAATCATTATAAGAAAATGACTGCCACAAAGGAAAAAAGAGGGAAGTATAAAATACGTGGATAATTAAGTTACACTGCGGCCTAGTTGCTTCTCGAGCCTGGGCTGCGCACAGGCTTGGACCGTGCTTAGACCCTTTACGGGCTAGTGTCGTGCCCATGCTACGGGCTAGTGTCGTGCCCGTGCTACGGGCTTCATAGATGAGATCCAACCATAACCCTTCGGCGTGCCGGACCAGCCCGGACCGCAACAGTTTAGGGCTGGGCCAGGCCGAATCTTGTATTGTTGCGGGACGGTCCGACCTAATTGATACTTCTACTTGAGATGACATTCAAATCCAACAAATCTCTTGCTTAGTTTCACATGCTTTGCTAGACTGGCATTCATATTTCATTTACAACATGCTCAACTAATCACTACGTTCTTCCCTTTGGAGCTGAAAAGAAAAGAACACAAAAGAAATGACAGACAAGAACTTCATTAAGAATGAGTATTGCCAAACTACTGAACAAATTAGCAAAACTTAAGTGGAAGAAACTAGTTGTCTCCCCTAAATACAAGTCATCTTTACAGCTTACATATATTTCAGACAAAATACATCTAGCCTCCCTCTTTTATCTTATTCCCACAGATTATAAAGAATATATCAACCACAAAACTTTTAGTTTTTAAGAGAGTTTCTCTGGTAATCCCTATAAAAATGGATTACCGATAGTTCTTTACTTTTCAGCCGTCAAATCTGTATCAGAATCTGTTATGTATACTTTTTCAATCTGATGTGATTTTGAGCTAGTTTTTAAATTACTAGCCGACACTACCATTGGTCATCTCATAGTTACAACTGGGATCCTTACCTGGTGACCCCTACTGCCTTTCATTAAAACCTCACCAAAATTGTAGCTTCCGGTCACAGATCAAACCGTGAGACTTATTGAGAATTTCCTCGATGAATCGGGTCTTAGAGTCATTGTTGGCAGGCTGGCTTCAATCGCAATTGCCGGAGCCATTCTGGTTTTGATCACATAGGTTTCTCCTCGGCCACGTTTGTAATCATTCGAGTAACAATTTTTGATCCCACGAGATGAGAGACAGTGGTTGATGGGGTGTTAAGATGAAAGGTGTGAGTTTTGACTTTTGGCAAAGAGGTTTTGTTTCTTAAGTCAATTTTAATGTTGAAAAACAGAGGTGCAATAAGTGGGGGAAGTTGAGAGAGGAACAAGAAGCTGTTTTGTTGATGGCTCTTGCCTATGGTCCTCTAAAATCTGAGAAAGAAAACTAGAAAGGAAGAATTTCAAAGAGAGAACCCCTCATCAGTAGCATTGAAAATCATGAAAGAAAAAACACCAAAATGCCCTCCTTTTTTTAAGTGCTTAACAGGTTTACTTTCAAAAAATGAGGGGTGATATTAGGACAACCCTAGTATGTTTGGTAGAAAAGAAAAGTAGAAGGAAGGAAGAAGGTGGAGGGATTTTAAGAGGGAAAATGAAAATGTAGGTTGTTTGGTAGGAGAGAAAAGATAAAGGAAGAGAAAATAGAGTGGAAAATAATACATGTGGGCCCCACCATTTTTTTCTTTCCATAAGTGGGCAGAAAATGGGATGAAAAATGAGGACAACTCATCAAAGTGAGCAAAGTTACTAAACTACCCTTTTCTCCATCAACATCCAAGCAAAAAATTTAAGGGTATAAAAGTAATTTACGAGTAAGATTTTTTCTTTCCTCCCAATTTAACTTCCTATACCAAACAAGTGAAGGTAAGCTCATTTTCTTTCCATCTTCTCATACCAAACAACATAAAAGAAAATCAATTTCCTTTCCATCATTGATATTTTTCATAGGGGTGGCAATCCGGGTAGCGACACGACGACACGACTCGAAACCCGCACGAAATTAGCGGGTTTGGGTTTATCATAAATAGGTCCGGGTCAGAATCAGGTCGAACCCGTGAAACACGATTAAATAACACGTCATTTTCAGGTTGACCCGCCAACCCGCAATTGACCCGCCATAACCCGTTTATTAAACGTGTCATATATAGGTAACGCGATTATACAACCCATTTATTACCCGTTTATTACCTGTTTATTACCTAGGTTAAAAAAAAGTTTAACTATTCACTATTCTCTTTCTCTAATCTCCCTCGTCCATCTCATTCCCACACTCACTCCCATCTGCGGCCGCCTCTCTCTCTCTCCACTCTCTCTCAACTCTCTCAGTCTCTCGGTCTCCTCTCTCATCTGCGGCCGCTGATCTCAGTCCACCAGACCACCGCCGCTTCTCATTTCTTCTTCTTTCTCTTCTTCTTCTTTCCTCTCCACTCGCCACCGGTGTTTCTCCGCTGCAAGCAAAAACAGTCACCGGTATTTCGCCTCCATTTTTCTTTTCCCTAACTTTGCTTGTTCTTGCTTTGTACATATTTTGATTCAATCTTGGAGAGGTAGGGGAAAGGGGAATAGATTTGACCGAGTAGTTGGTTCTTGGTAATATATTGGTTATAGCATATTCTTCTCTTAATCGTTTATCTTAAAGTTTTCGTTACAAGTAGTGTTTTATCTTTTGTTTTTGTTTTTTTTGGTTTTTTTTTAAACCACCTCAGGCGGTGTATTTTGGAGGATTGTTTTGGACAAGTTATATCATGGTTTTTCTTTCTGCGATATTAAGCTACATTTTCCCAAATCATGTTTTGCTTAATCTTTTGATAAGAATGTGGAATTTGTGCTTACAAGCTGGTCATCTTTCTTTCTAGTTTATGCGACTGATGTTGACGATATGAACAATTGGCGGTTGTTGTGATTAAGAAATCGTCGTTTCTTATCATAGGGTGCCCATTTATTAAACGTGTCATATATAGGTAACACGATTATACAACCCGTTTATTACCCGTTTATTACCTGTTTATTACCTAGGTTAAAAAAAAAGTTTAACTATTCACTATTCTCTTTCTCTAATCTCCCTCGTCCATCTCATTCCCACACTCACTCCCATTTGCGGCCGCCTCTCTCTCTCTCCACTCTCTCTCAACTCTCTCGGTCTCTCAGTCTCCTCTCTCATCTGCGGCCGCCGATCTCAGTCCACCGGACCACCGCCGCTTCTCATTTCTTCTTCTTTCTCTTCTTCTTCTTTCTCTTCTTCTTCTTTCCTCTCCACTCGCCACCGGTGTTTCTCCGCTGCAAGCAAAAACAGTCACCGGTATTTCGCCTCCATTTTTCTTTTCCCTAACTTTGCTTGTTCTTGCTTTGTACATATTTTGATTCAATCTTGGAGAGGTAGGGGAAAGGGGAATAGATTCGACCGAGCAGTTGGTTCTTGGTAATATATTGGTTATAGCATATTCTTCTCTTAACCGTTTATCTTAAAGTTTTCGTTACAAGTAGTGTTTTATCTTTTGTTTTTGTTTTTTTTGGTTTTTTTTTAAACCACCTCAGGCGGTGTATTTTGGAGGATTGTTTTGGACAAGTTATATCATGGTTTTTCTTTCTGCGATATTAAGCTACATTTTCCCAAATCATGTTTTGCTTAATCTTTTGATAAGAATGTGGAATTTGTGCTTACAAGCTGGTCATCTTTCTTTCTAGTTTATGCGACTGATGTTGACGATATGAACAATTGGCAGTAGCTTTGATTAAGAAATCGTCGTTTCTTATCATAGGGTGTCATTTTTTAGTTAAATTATGTCGTATTGGTGGTGGCTTTGATCAAAGATTTGAAGGGTCACACGGGAGAGAAGCATCTGTGAGGAATAGGATTCTTGTTTTTGATGGTTTAAATGGTTCAAACTATTTTTTTACTTTTTGCAAAATAAAAATTATTTTTTATTTTTTGCAAAGCAAAGAGTTTGAACAAATAGGAGCCTTTATAGACTCGGGTTGATAATCAACTCAGTTTTGTCTCAAGTTTAGAATGTGCTAAAACAGGATTCAAATGAAATGAAAGGAAATAAGCACAATATTACTGAAGTAGCTAAGAACAGAACAATGTTTAAGAGCAGGGGAATAGATTATATTGGTTATATTGGTAATGTTGATTGTCTTTGATATTGTTTATATTGGCCGGTTGTAGCAGATTATATTGGTAATGTTGATTGTCTTTTATATTGAAAGTTTCTTTGTTTAATTCTCCATAGGCTAGTGATTGAGTTCTACCATTTTTGACCATACGTTATGAGGTGAATATTAAAAAACTAATGATGACCAGTTCTATTTTCAGGATTTTCAGAGGTGCTTAATTTAACACAATGGAAATTGATCTTGAATCCATTGAGTCTCAAAGTGTGGATGTTGATGTTGAAGAGATTGATGGGTCGAGTTTTCATACCGAAACTCATGGTGCTGATCTCTAAAAAAGAAAAAGGAAGCTGACCCCAAAAGTTTGGAGTCACTTTGTTCATCTTCCTTTGGGTCCGGACAAGAAATTGAAGGCCAAGTGCAAACATTGTAGTTCTGTGTACCTCGCAGACAGTAAGTACGGAACTGGTAATCTGAAACGCCATCTTGTGAATTGTCTGAAAACTTCCTACCGTGATATAGGGCAGATGCTCATTGCCCAAGAAGCTGGTGCAGTGACACTTGGTGGAGGTAAGTATGATCCCGAAAAATTTCGTGAGTTAGTTGTAGCAGCTATAATCATGCATGATCTACCTTTTAGTTTTGTTGAATATGCGGGAATAAGGTCTATATTTCAGTACTTGCACCCTCAAATTCAATTGGTCTCTAGAAATACTGCAAAGGCTGACGCTTTAAAGTTTTACAAGAGGGAAAAGCTTCGACTTAAATTGATGTTAGAGACTATCCCAGGTAGAATTAGCTTTACTTCTGATGCATAGACTTCTTTGACTAGTGATGGATATGTTTGTCTCACTGCGCATTTCATAGATAAGAATTGGAACTTACAGAAAAGAGTGTTAAACTTTAGTTTTATGCCACCCCCACATAGTGGCGTTGCTTTGTCTGAAAAACTTTATGCATTTTTGAGTGAATGGGGAATTGAAAACAAGGTGTTTAGTATGACATTGGATAATGCTTCTGCGAATGGTGTTTCGGTTGACATGTTAAGAGAGCAATTAGTTGCCAAAGGGGTTCTTGTACACAATGGCGATCTATTTCACATGCGATGTTGTGCACACATACTAAATTTAGTTGTGCAAGAGGGTTTGAAGCAGATTGATGATTCAATTGTTAAGATTCGTGATAGTGTCAAATATGTCAAGGGATCCCAAGTGAGGAAGCAAAAGTTCTTAGATTGTGTGAAGTTAGTTGCAATTGGTGATAAGAAAGGGTTGTGTCAAGATGTACCAACTAGGTGGAACTCGACATATCTTATGCTTGAAAGTGCTCTTTACTATCGCCGTGTATTTCAACATTTAGAGTTGAGTGATTCAAACTACAAACATTGTCCTTCTAGTGCCGAGTGGGACAAAGTTGAAAAGATTAAAACTTTTTTGAAGTTGTTCTATGATGCAACTCTTAAATTTTCTGGAACAAAGTATCCCACTGCCAACTTGTACTTCCCTTCCATTTGGCATTGTTGCTTCATGTTGAAACAATATTTAGAAGGTGATGATGAGTACTTAAAGTATATGGCAACAGCAATGTGG